AAAAAAAAAAAAAAAAAAAAAAGAACTGACAGAGAAGGAAAAAAAAGAAAAAAAAGGAGGTAGAGGTATGTGTACGTACCACATTCTTCTTGGACTTCTGCAAACTGAGCCTGGACTGTTTGGCCATGGAGAACATGGAGCCCAGCTGTGTGGCCATCAATGTGTCCTGCAGAGGGAGAGATGTTGGGGGAAGGGGGGAGAAAAGGTTGGTGAAGATGGTATAGGTTTAACACCCCTATCAACACTATCATGTTATTTAAGAGGCGAGACCTCCCAGGTCAACATCCATCTTTGAAAGGACCAAGCTAAATGGGAGATTCGTGTAAAGTGCCTTTCCTTAGGACATTACGTCGGACCAAGCTGAAGCTCGAATGTCCGAACCCGTAATCACAGGTTCGGTAGCCGAACCACAAGGCCACCAACGCCACCGAAGACAAAAGAAAAAAAAAGGGGGAGGGGGTGGGGGGGACAAAATTAACATAACAGGGGCAAACACAAAGTGCAGTGAAGTCAACCCAAACCGAACACAATCAATCTAAAACAAAGGGGAAACCAAGAGAAAATGAATCCCTCCATTTTTTTTTCCTCTTGACATCCTAGCAAAACCCCCCAAAAGTCTGGTGCTACTGCAGACTCCACTGTTACAGAAGATAAGATAAGATAAGATAAGACAAGACAAGATAAGACAGGATAAGATAAGATAAGATAAGACAGGATAAGATAAGATAATATAAGATAAGATAAGATAAGATAAGATAAGATAAGATAAGATAAGATAAGATAAGATAAGACAAGATAAGATAAGATAAGATAAGATAAGACAAGATAGATAAGTCTTACACTGGGGTTTGCCTGTCCAGTCTTCATGGCCTTCTGTAGGGCCTTGGCCTGGGCCACCAGTTCTTCAATCTTGGCCTGGTGCATGGCGTGGAGCAAACGTCTGGGGAGGACACAGGTCATGGCTTGCATTTTACGCCCAAATCCACACAATTTAGAAAATAATAACTGCATATCCGTACCGCTTATCCACGCTCTAAAGCAAGCTCTATGCCATTACAATTATTTTTGACCCAGCAGATACCAGAACACTAAAGAAACATTCTCAGTTTCCCAGGAAGCATACAGAGCAAGCTACAGATTACACATCCTCAAATACTAACAAACTAACAAAATCTTTCTCTGCCGAAACTAGATACCCATTCTCACCTAGGTGAAGAGAAGCAAATTCATTTAAAGTGCTTTTCCCTCAAACCCGATGGGATTCAAACCCATGACCTTACAATGATGGATCCAAGAGCCCAACACTAGATCCGTGCTTATCAACTTTTTTATAGTCCGCACCAACTTTTGCGACCTTTAAGCGCCTAAATTGTTTGTACTAACCACCTATGTACAAAATTATGTATTTCCACACGAGGCATTTAATAATACCTGTAACAACACAGGTTTAATAAATTAAATACCTGTAACAACACAGGTTTAATAACACCTGTAACAGCACAGGTGACCACCCACCACCCACAAAAACTACCAGATAGAGCGTTTGGTTTCTGACCTCTTGGTTTTAGTAACTCAAAACAGCTGAAAACGTCAGATAGAACTTTGTAATTCTGAGGTAGTGCAGTGTTGTGGTTCGGTATGGCTGATCCACACACACACATAGACACACATACACACACACACACACACACATATACACACACACACACATACACACACACACACATACACACACACACATACACACACACACACATACACACACGAACAAGCACACAT